GATTATAATATGAAATATATCTACGATTAATTTCCATTATAAATTGATATCATTTCAGTCCATTTTGTAATAAACAATATACTCGAAACTTGCACATCAAYATTTTGGAACAGTTAGATTTAGAATATATAGGAGAAGCATTTTCGTCAGAATGTATACCAACATTTAAATCTTATTAGTATATGTCCAATCTGCAAACAAATAAATTAAAAGTAGTTCTCCTCAATATAAAAATATTAATTTTATTAGGTATGTAAAATAATATTAGAAGATTCTCTAACGGATGTTGAGCGCCTAATGTTGATATGGTACTAAGAATATATTATCATGTTCGTACACCAATTTCTAACTGAACAATTAAAAGAAAATATTCTTAATTCAGTGAATTAAAATTTTTTTTAATAGTTAACTGCAATGTATACCATAAAACTCAATGGTATGGCTTTATTTAATATTGAAAAGAATTTCTTGTCTACAAATTTCAAATGGTTTAGTTTATGAATATTTTACTATAGTAATAATGTATAGTGACAGTATTAGTAATTAATTTATAAATTACAAAAAATATATAAATATAATTTAGTATTAATTAATAATGTATTTTTTTTATAAATAAATATTTCTAATATTATAGATTTTTTATCCATTTATGTATAAGTACTTCATAAGTTAATATGTTTATTATATAAGTATAGTATTGAGGGATAGGGTGAAAAACTTAGAATATTGGGAAGTACATTGGCTATAATTAAGTTTGAGAATCATTTTACCAACATATTGTATCCAAATTACATATCACCTATAATTTTTATAGGTAATAATTTAAAAAATAAAAGTAATGGAAATATTCCTCTTGATACCCTCTCGTTAATATGATAATAATCAGGTACCATTTTAAATACAAACAAAAAATATTATATTTTCAAATATTTACGCCTATAGGAGTTGTATTCAAAACAGCTATGATATAGTATTATAATAAAATAATTAAAAAATTAAAAAATAACAAAATAAACTTATAAATGTTTTCAATAATAACAAAAAGTTATAAAACCCGATATAGATGATATAATCTTTAAATATAATTACAAATTTACAATCATTTTACTAAAACTCAATTATCACATAATACAAAACTTCTAATATTTCGTTTGTTTTCTTAAGTTCTAATAACACATAACACGACTAAGTTGTCCTTCAAACTGATTAGTGCAAATGATGATGTTCCGTTATAAATTTTAACGAATTAGGTGTCATCAAAGGGTCATTTACTATTGACGATAAGATACGCCATGCTCTATCCATACTGTATAGATTTTAATATCTTTCCGATAAAATATATGACATTATTCAAAAACTATTAGCGGATGGTACTGGATAATCATCCTTAAAACATTGTATACATCTATRTCATATACCTATACTTGGTAAACCAGAAAATATATGCAACTACTCTAATACAATAAAACGTTAAAACATATTTTAATTACAAATAAAAAAGTTTGCAATATAAGAGCACAACTGAAATAAAACAATAACAATATCAGACAAAAAATTATTTAAAAAATAGTACTCAACTCGTTTCGCTTACCTCAGATATTTATATACATCATTTAATAAAAAATTCTAAAACTTAGATATTTGAAAAATTATTTTTAATTAAGTTTGATTTTATCCAGAACAGTCAAGATATTTTATAAAACTGAATGTATTATATTTCACGTTCTGCAATTTCAAACTTTATAGAAGCATACTAATAAAATAAGTGATATCAACTGTTATTGCTAACCTTTATTTCACCGAAAATTGTTTTCCAAAATTCYATTAAATGTATAGATAATATATTATAATATAATATATTAATATAGTAAAACCTGTATATAACTAGGTATAATCTGTATTAATATGTATTATATATTATACACATACATTATAAATTTAATTTAAATTATTATTTTTATATTACATATTTACATGTAATACATACATACAATGACACATTATAAATTGTTAAATTGTATTAACCTAAATTGTTGTACAAATTTAAACTTTATAAATTCAATATAGGTACTCGCAATTAGYGTTATCGTAATMGGMGATAATGTAATTGGTSGTAATCCGTGTTTTCACTTAATGTCCTAATTGCGTTTCTTATCAACGTAGTATGTATGTATTTTTGTCCGTTATGAAATTATCAAGTAAAATRTTAGTGTCCGTAATAGAAGGAGTCCGTTATAGACAGGTCGAAATACATTGGAATGCCTATCTTTTTGTCGGGACCTGGTCATTTTTGTCCGTTAAGAGAGGTGTCCGTTATATACAGGTGTCCGTTAAGTCAGGTTTCACTGTAACCTAACCTTCACTGTACATAATTTACGGCTCGATGGTTGACCGAAATCACTAACGTGTTCTGAGGTAAAACGTCGACGGACGTCGCTAGCTCCCGGATGGGTGATCAGCCGGGTTTTTATTGATGAATCCTATAGCTWTCACTCCATATACACATATTTCAAACCAACCGTTTTCTCCCTCGCAGTAAAAACTAACTTATGACCTTCAGGCTAATGAATTTAAATATGGAAAACTTAACTTAAAAAAATAAAAACAGAGAAATACCAAAATATTTGTACACATGTAAAATAAAAATATTTTTGTACACTAATCAGTAAAACAATCAAAATAAATAAATTGATGATGGGTTGGTTTTTTTTCACAAATAAATCGATAAAACAAATATGCAAATAATTTAACCTTACTGTCCTTACTGACATCTCTTTCCAACGAATAAAGTATCATAATTTGGTACCTACTTATTTAAACGTTTATAATAATTATTAATGCATCAATTGTCGTCAAACCAGAATGTGTACACGTTATTTTATATCTACAATGTTAACATTAAACAAAGAAAAATATTCTCCGAGAAATAGTATAGATGATATGTTTCAATCGTTACGGTTACGATAATAACGTTTAAATTAAACTACACRCTTTAATAACAGGTGTAAAAATATATGAGTACTAGTGAATTATAGATACAATAGCACAATCATATTATTTCATGTTTATAATTATTGAATAATGTGTTAAGTTTCACGTTCTGATATTTTACAGTACAAATAACGTCAACAATTATTATTGAAATTAGATTGGTGTTATAGTATTATGTAAAAACCTGCGCCCTCAGATATACAGTACAATCATTCATTTTATCGACATTTTTAAGTCATTTAATTGGTTTTAACTTTTTAACTAGAAACAGCAATCATAACCCCTTTTGAAATACCTATTATTAGCTCATCTTGCATTTTTTTTTTTTATAAGAACTTAACAATACATATTACGTCATAATAATTAACTAATATGTAATTATTGTGAATWAACTTATAATGTATAGCCTTAGCATAATATAAAAGCAATATCTATCAATAACGGGACATTATTAGGTACCTATATGAAAAGTATAATATCGATTATATTTTTAAATTGCATGGACACGGTCGCGCGTTATTAAATATTATTTTAATGTACGTTTATAAAAGTATATTGGGTATAATTA